TGATAATCAAATATTATAAATATTATATAATCCACTCCTTGGTTAGTAACCTTTCACAAATGTGACAGCAATGAAGGGTAAATTTGGCTTAAAAATGATTAAAAATTAAGTTCATTTTCTGACTAATGTATGCATTTAGGACCAAATATTGTGCCGGCCTGACAACCAAAATCTTCAATGTGAAACTACGGCTGCCCTTGAAAAGTATCCAGAAGCTTCATCTGATGTAGAATTCAGGGTGTGGGTAGTTGTGTGTGCTACTAGAACAGCACATGCTACAATTCTACTTCACAAGTTTCATTGGTTGCCAGTTTGCTTCTGGATCCAATTCAAGTTGTTGGTTTTAACTTTTAAGCCTGCCATGGCCTGGGAGCAGGCTGTCTGAAGGACTGGTCCAACCCATCAAGAAAAGAGATGAGGCAAGAATTGCAAATCAAGAAGGTGCTAAAATGGAAGAAGAATAAGAAATTGGTGTCTCCTCTTGTTACTCAACATATCTAGTGTAGAGGATAGGCTTCCTCCCTTTGTGGAAGCTTTCCACACGAACGAGGACCCAGAAAAATCAAGAACCTTAATCTATCATATATAGAGAGGAGGTCTGTATATGTGTTCAAGATATGTGTTGAAGAGAACGATGCTAGCACATTGACTTGTAATATGCCCACCTAGGCATACAAGTCAAATAAATAAACAGGATAAGCAGACCTAAATTTACTTATCTGGGAATAAAAACCTTAGATATGTGTATGGGATTTACTGCAGAGTAAACCTGACATGTCCCAAATAAGCTGCAACACTCCAGATGACCAGCAGGTGGCAGGAAATTAAAGATGCAATAGACTTTATGTGCCTAGACCAGTGATGGTGAACCTCTGTCAAAGATGATATGGCACACTCATATTCACCAACACCCAACAACTATTCTCGAAAGCATGCCCTATTCATATGTGATTTTTGGAGACTGTGAAGGCCGTGCTAAAATGGGGCGTGTTTTTGTGTGGCCTCTGGGGCTTCTAGATATGTTACATGAGAATGGGGTGTGCCTTTGCCCAGTTTTCTGAGGCTGCAGAAGCTGCGGAAGATCATTCTTCAAAGTTGCTTCAAGAGTGAAGGCCTAGTATGATTTGGATATGACCACTGCAAGGGCCTCTCAATAGAAAAAGAGGACCGCCTGAAGTAAGCGGTACATGGCGGATCCCAGAGAGGGATGGGCCATGAGGGTAATTGCACCATTCCCCATGGCTAGCACACTTTGGGGAATGGCACCAGATGGCGGGGTAATGCTAGGGTTGAAGTTGAGGCCTGGGCCTATATTTCAGGCCTATCTTTGCACTGCCACTGAGTGCTACTATTCAGGGTAACTTAGACCAGGGATGGGCAACTATGGCAACTTTACAACCTGTGGACTTCAACTCTCGGCATGGCTGACTCAGGAATTCTGGGAGTTGAAGTTCACAGGTTGACATAATTGCCCACCCCTGATCCAGATAATGGAGAGATAGAGAATTGTTTCCTCATGTTTTTAAGAATCTGCCTCTGATTGGGGCTTTTATTTATCTTCAAATGCATACAATACATCCACATACAGGTTTCTCACTATGAATAGAAAGCTGAACTGATATTGCAATGGCAGAGTTTGCTGGATCAAACCTCTCCTGTAGATTATCTTATTTCAGACAATTGCATATATTTCACATGGCTGTAGTCCATGTTTACAGAGAGACATTATCACAATTTATTTGATCAATGTAACTATTTACCTGAATGTGTGCTAAGCTTGACTTATACTGAATGTTTTCTATATAGAAAACCCTGAGTTATGTAAGCTTTCTGTGTGTATCTGACCATGTTGAAATGTACTTTAGATTGTGATCTCTGACTCATTCAAATATCACCAAAAGGTGAGACAGTCAGAAAACTTTCCGGTGATTCTGCCTTTCTGAATGCTGCTTTACAACTGCTTGGAAGGAGAATGGGGTTTTTTGCCCACACACCCACACCCACACCCACCCACACCCACACCCACACCCACACACCGAGAGAGAGAGAGAGAGAGAGAGAGAGAGAGAGAGAGAGAGAGAGAGAGAGAGAGAGAGAGAGAGAGAGAGCTCTGTGGTATTTTAATTTGATTTACAACATGATCTTGTGAACTGAGCAGGTTTTTTTTTTTTTTTTTAGCTAAAAGCTATTCAGTCAAGTCAAATGCTTGGCATTTCAATGTTGCAATGTGCAAATAATATTGGCAAATCCAGAACTAGCTATCTAGCAGCCTTCTCACCTCAAGTTAATAGGCAAATTCTTAACCTTGGAGACTGACAATAATAGACTCATGACTTTTTCCACATATCTGTGTTGCATAACGATTGTTGTAATATTCTGTTTCCTTGACTCCATTCCTGACTTCATCAGCTCACGCCCTAATGGAACAGTTTCTACTGAAGGGAGGCTTTTGTGTGGTTGGCAGTCCCGTGGGCCGCAGACATCTTTGTAGACTTGAAGAAAATAAACAGCTCATGATGAGTGCAACTCTTAAAATCAAGACATTGGCAATGCCCTGTGATTGTTGTAATCTGTCCACTGGTTTGCATTTAAGTGGATGAAACAGAGATATTTTATTCTGGAAAAGCATTATGCAGTGCTTTGGTTTCCATGAGATTATTTTTATCTGGAGGAAACTCTTAAGAGTTTTTTCCTTGATGTAACTTGTAAAACTTGGGCACTTCTGACTTCAAATGCTATGAGTCATGAAAGCAGCAGATCAGCATTTTTCTACAGACCTTTGAAGTCACTACTGCATTTATTAAACTTGACCGTCCATTTCTGCTTTGGGGGGAATGTATAGTTGTACTATGTACTATATGTACTATAAATTATGCACAGCTCTATTTACGATGTCAGACCCTATGACTCTAAATTCAACTTGTCAAATGGAGGACTGCCCTTAAAATATTGGCCTTATTATGAAAAACAACCTATAAGAAAGGAAATAGAACAAGTACCTGCGGTCCATTCTCTTCAGTTTTCATTTGACAAGCTAGGTGTAAAGTGAGAGTGGGGAGCTATATTTGTCTTAATACAATTATAGGCTCCACAAAAAGCCTATACTTCACACCGTCCCATGAGCAGAGAGTTCATTCGAATGCAAATACCAGTAGTCCTTGCTTAATAACCACAACTCCAACTCCACAGCTCCAACACTAAATGACATGGCCATTAAGCGAGACATCACATGATCACAATGGGCTTATGGGTCCATTTCTTCTGGATTTGTTAACCCAATCACCAAGATCTATTAGGCGAGACTTCCTGTGACTTGTGACTTGTGATTTTTACTGCTGGCTTCTCCATTGACTCTGCTTGTTGGAATTCTGCTGTGAAGGATGCAAGTGGCGATCATGTAACCTTCAGGATGCTGTGACAGTCATAAAGGTGAGGATCAATTACAAAGTTACTTGTTTAGTACCATCATAACTTCAAATGGTTACTAAACAGGGAAGTTGTTAATTGAGCTCTACCTGCAGTGGTGGGATTCAGCTGGTTCGCACCAGATTGGCAGAACCGGTAGCTAATTTTTTGTTGCCCGGGCCCAGAATGGACTTACGGAAGTGGCATCCACACAGAGAACCGATTGTTCACATATTTGAATTCCACCACTGTCTACCTGTATACATTCATTTCAAGGATAAATGTGTCCTAATCAAGGAATTAGTCCATACAGTATATATGAATATGCCTAATCAAGAAACCACCAATGCTGATTGGGCAAGCCACAAATATATAAACACAGACCAAACTCCATTCCCTTCTAGCACTAATGATATTACTAGTTTGCTAATGAAACATCTCAAGAAAACAACGAAACTTAGTGAGTACCAAGGACCGCACATATTCATTTCAGAATTTAGTCAGGAACTGAAAGACCAGGAACAATGACTTCCCTTCACATATTCTTTTCTGGTAACACTTGAAGTTTATGTCGTATTTTAATCCAGTTCCCTCCCTCTTAGGGTATCTTGCATGGTTATTCTGATAGTGAAAAACCATCTCTTTGTTGTAAGACTAACAAATACATAATACTGAGATTTCCATTTTGAGGGTGAAAATACATGTGAAATTGAATGGTGTATATATGCTTTTCTCCAGCCTTTATGGTAGATTTCAATTACCAATTCCCTAGATTATTCATTTTTTAATTATGTTTATATTCTGTCTTTTATCTTAGAGCTCTAATCATAATTCTAACTACAGCAACTCTGTGAAGTAGTTCAGGATGAAAAAGAATGACTCAAGTCACCCATCAGGTGCTATGATCAAATGGGGACTCTGGGATCTCTCTCCAACAGCTTAATCATTACACTATACTGGCTTTCAACTTTAATAGCAAACTGAATTGATTAACATTTTTTTAAACAACTAAGAAGACAAATGGTTTATTAAACTCATCCCAACAAAGAGGCGAACTTTCTGCTTAGTCCCTCCAGATGTTACAGCCCTTCCCCAAGTCTTAAAAGCTAAAAATATTTTAAAGGTGGACTTCTGGTTGCACAAATATTATCTGTCTGTTTTAAAATTTCCTTAAGAGAGCTTCCCTTTTTCTAGGCTAAATCCATATTACAGTTTTTGCTTTAGAATAATTCAACTCTTCCTCTTACGTCTTAAGGAAGAAGGACCATGATTCTTTGGGGGTGGGGGGTGGGAAATATATCCAGAGGAGCGATCTCTCAAAGCTTTTATTTTAGAATAAGCCTTTCCAGCCTTTCCTAAGGCGTCATCTTCTCAAACGTTTGGATTATAGCAATCGTGATTCACAGCCGTCATGATTAACATGTTACAAATTGAAACATCTAGAGAAGACCAGATAAGCAAGCCTTTCATCTTACGGAAATGTTACAAACAACAAAGCAAGACATTAAGAGTTCTTAGCAAGTAAAACTGGGGGGATGGTGTTTGGAAAATTGCTTATCTTTTTACAAGAATAATAAAAAAACATGGCATCTTACCTTTGGGCCTTCAGAGTGCAGGCACCCATCCCAGTAGCAGTCTTGTTGTGCCACATCACAAAGGAGCCAGTCAGAGCATATGGATAAAAATTCCAAGTTAAAAGAGTTTGGGGCTTTATTGATGTAAAAAAGGTGGCACGTTGAAGCCTGGCATCTAGTATTGATTTCAACATGACAAGCGCACAAGCATTTCCTTACATTAAACCGATCAGGTAAATGTTTAACCTCAGTAAATGCAGGGGTTTGACTGCAATTATGAAATGATTGGAATGTGTGCCTGGCAACATCTTTGTTCAGAGTAAACACCAGTGAACAGGAAGGCAAAAAGAATGGCCACTATTGATGATTCTTTTATTTTGTCAGAAAAAAAATTGACTCATGGGTTTTCAATTTCATTACCCCATTCTAATCACTTTTGGCAGAGAAACAAATTTCTATAGACAGGCCAATTGGAAGGCAACTAAAAAGATAGAACAGAATGCTCCCTTCCAAAATATTTTTTTAAATAATGATCTTCCCCTCTCATCATTCATTTAATCCATACCTTAATTGATAGAGCTAACATTACATTTGTGCTTTTCCAAAAATCACTGAATTTTCATGACAAGTAAAACATGTGGCTCTAAGTGAGAAGAAGTCTCCCCCTTGTGGAAGCTTCTCTGTATTGCAACAGAAGCTATTCTGTTCTGCTATTAAATCAAAGAATCAAAGACCAGATGGATTTCAGAAAGGCATCTTCAATACTTTAATGCTCATTTGGCTATAAATGCATTGCCTGAACCAGTTCATGTTCTATACATGTATCAAGCAGGAATGGGATTCTTTATCCATTTCAGTTTTACTCAGTTTCACATTTTCACAACTTTAAGTTTGGGTTGGGACCAATATTGTATTTATGTGATGGGTTCTATTGTTAGATTGCTTTTACTGTTAGAAAATGGAATCTGCTTTCTGCAACTTAAATCCAATATATCAAGTTCTGAATTCTGGAATGAAAGAGAGAGTAAGTCTTGATTTTCTTCTGCGGAATATCCTTTCAGTATTATCATGTCCTCACTCAATCATTTTTTTCCTAGGGCTCAGCATATCCAGTTCTTTAACCAGGGTTTAATTACCAGTCCCTCATTAATCTTAGTTGCTGGTCTCTGAACCTGTTTAAATTTCTCTGAATCTTTCTTAACAAATGGTGTCTGAAACTAGACAATGCATATAAGGTATGCAATGCAGAATAGATTGAAACAATACAATTCTGTGATTTGGAAATTACGCTTTTTTTAATGCAGCCTAAAAGTGCACGTGCCTTTTTTGCAGCCTAACATACTGCTGGCGCATACTCAATTTGCAATAAGGTGTTCTTCCAGTCAGAGCCAGTTTGGTGTTGTCCTTGGAGCCTTATATAATTGTTCCTAGAGGTAGGCTACCAGACTGAGGAGATTCCTGTATTATAGGCAGAACATAATAAAGTAGTTAACTCAAACTCTGCAAATGTGGGCCTGGTTGTTTGCACCTGATCAGTGTAGCGCTTAAGTCCTCAGGATAGAAACCTGGAGAATATAAGTGCTAGTCAAAGGCAGCTGGGTACTCTCTCTCTGCTCTAGTAGGCAGGCCAGGGCAAACCACTTCCAAAATCTGCAGGGATTTGTCCAGATACTCCAGGAGTCAAGAGTGACTTGAAGGGGCATTCCCACCTCCTAAATATTCCAATATATTTTCATAAGCACTGTTACCAAACCTGGTAATCTTATCCTATGTATTTTGCCTTCTAAATACCTTATACCAGAATGTTTGAACTCTATTTGAAATTAGTTTGTTATTCTAGGAAAATGAGTGCTGTGGCTTATTCACTACTCAGTTTCTGTTTCCTTTCTAAAGACTTCTGTGAGCACAACCATTTCAAGCAAGAATGTTTTTATTGATTGACTTGCTAGACTGATATTTCTTCAATAGCCCAAGATCGCTTTCATGGTGATCTTCCTTCATTTTATCCCCACTACAGCAATCTGTGAAGTTGGTTAAGTTAAGATAGAGTGGCAAAGTCACCCAGTCACCATGGTGACTCATGTGGTTGAACCTAGGTCTTTCCAGTCATAGTCCAACACCTGAGACACTCCCAATAATATCCTTTGTGCTAAGCCCTCTTATAGTTTCTCTGTTGCAACTGAAGAAAGATTTGTCCAAGATATGGGAATGAAAGACCATGAGTCCATTTTGCAGCAAAAAGGGAGATAATGGAATAACAGAGTTGAAAGGGACTTTGGAGCTCTTAAAGTGCAACCCTCTGCTCAAGCAGGAGAAACTATACCGTTTCAGACAAACAGTTATCCAATTTCTTCTTAAAATCCCCCAGTGATGGAGCACCTATAACTTCTGAAGGCAAGCTGTTCCACTGATTAATTGTTCCAACTGTCAGGAAGTTTCTCCTTATTTCTAGATTGGTTTTCTCCTTGATTAGTTTCCATCCATTGCAGGGTTAATTGTGCATTAAATCATTTGCAAGCAGCGCTTTATTTTGTTTCCAGTTTTTTATGAAGTTGCTGCCTAGAAGCTACGAATTAGGGCTCTCTCTCTCAAAAAAAATTTCACGTTTTTATTTATGTGTTATATTTATATCCTGCCTTTCCTTTAGGAGGTCAAATTGCCCTACATAACTCCCTCCAGGTTTTATCCCAACAACAATTGTACTGTGTGAAGATGGTTGGACTGAGTGATTGGCCCTTAAATGATCCAAGGAGGTTCAGGGCCGAAGTCCTAATCTAGCATCTTAATTATTACGTCACGTTGGCTAAAGCTTATTGTTTCTCAGGGACAGCTTCTTCGTTGCCTTCTCCTCTTCCAAATTTTAATCATTTATGTAGAATTATATGGATCCCAGAGGAAAGGAAGTTGCTTTTGGGAAGTCTTAAGAAAAGACCTCAGCTTGCCATGCTAATGTTTCAGATGAGTTCAGAAATGTTTTCCACTAAATTTGCTGGATGATAAATAACCAGACTAATTCTGATTATCACTTTGGGTTCAAGATGATCTAGGTGTCATGGTTCTGACAGATGAAACTGTTCAAAGAACTTCGAGGCATTGTTTACCTTAAGGAATCTTTATTCGAGTAGCATAGCATCCGCACGTACATAGGCAAAGCCAAAATCTGAATTCCCCTCCCCTGAGCACATGGTATCAAAGCACAATTCCCTCCTCTAATTAACAGCCACAAATCACATTCTCCAATTAGTTTGAAATGCAGGCTTTCCCTCCAGTTCTTCAACCACCATTTCTTATCATCTCTTATTTAAAAAAACCTTGGTTCTCACACTAGTTACAATATTGGTATGTCTAACTAAACTCCTGAGCACATTCCTCCTCCCCGCCAGTATCATCTAATTCTAACTCTAATTCTAAGAGTAAAACATAAGAAGGAAAGTGGCGCATCTCCATATGTTGTCAAAGCAAGAACATCCGATGTTAGCAGTGTTGACACTAGGAATGTCATGTGACCATCTGGTTGCAATTGTGTGAGATAATACTGAATTCTTCTATCGTGTTAACATTTGAAATAGATGTGTTTGATACTTGAGTGTACCAAGGCCATAGACCAATAACCGGATATAAAGATCGCAGAATTCCAGGTTTGGGTCCTGGGATTTTCCTACTTTCTAATGGGTATTAGCCCTACACCCTGGAGTATGAATTAAATTATATGAGTTATAACTCTAATGCTTACTGGAATAGTTGTAAAATGAAAAAAAAAATCCTACTACTAACAAAGTGGCATATACAGAAGCATAATATGCATTTAAGTTCCAAAAGCAATCAATTAAAACAGCAGTATGATTTAATTCCAGGCCATTTTTAATAGCCATTATAATCATGCCATTAAAAATCAGCAGGGCTATTCTCAAACATCATCAATGCACCATAACATCTTAGGAAATGGACGCCTAAAATAAGCGGGGTCTTGAAAAAGAAATCAATTTAACAACCTAAATTAATGGTACTGTGTATACAGGAGGTGAAAGGGAATTCCAGAGACATGGTCTTTCCCTCAGTAGCAAAGAAAATGAAAGAAGAGAGAAGAAAGAGTTTGAATCTGGGCATGGGGGGGAAAAAAAGTCTTGAGTTAATGCAAACCTTACCAGTGTTTCTCAACCTTGACAATTTTAAGGCATGTGGACTTCAACTCTGGGAGTTGAAGTCCACATGCCTTAAAATGGTCAAGGTTGAGAAACACTACCTTAGACACATCAGCATAGATTGTGTGGATTTCTCCTGAGAGTGGAATGTCAAAGAGCTTCTGAAATGAAGTCCTGGATGGAATGGTGCTAACCTGTCTGCTATTTGATTTTTGCAGCAATAACAGATCTTCATATTTTGAATGAGATGAATCGAATAGCTGCCTGCGGAATCTTTCTATTAATAGAACAAGCCTGATTAAATTAGAACTGGTAGCAGATTGTTGACAGAGATGGCTGCAGAAGGAGCTACCATGGAAACAGAGAGGTCAGCATTGCATTAACAGCTGAAGGAAGCTTTTCAACTACTTTAGGAACTAGGGCTGAGAAGAAGTAAAGAAAACCAGATTTGCCAAGCTGTTGCTATCAGTAAATTAAATTGCCAACATCTCTGTTATTAATTAGTAAAAAGCAGTTGCCTAACTCTTTTTTTCCTTTTAATCAATCCATGAATGAACTCTTGGGTGGAATGCTGGGAATGCATATTTGCCAAAGTGAAAGATTGCAGAGATGACTTACAGTTAAAATGATTTGCACCATTTATTTTACTAAACATGTTTATATAGCCTCTCATCTTACTGAGCGTGACTCCGGGCAGTGTTCAACCAAAATTAAAACTATGACACAATTATTAAAACACTTAAAAAAAATAAACAAAACAAGATAGTGCAAGAACACCTTTTGAGACACAATGCAACCATTGCACATGGGAACCCCAAGATTGCTGAAGGAACCACATTTTCAAATTTCCAAAAGGCTAACAGGAATGGAGCTCACCTCACCTTGGTGGGAATGGTGCTCCAGAGGATGGGAACCACAGTAGAAAAGTCACATCACCTGGGTCCTATCATCATTATCATCATTTTCATTAGCCTGATCACAATATTAATCTACTGCATCTAGAAAGATGGAAAGGCCTGGAAAAAAATTAGAAAAATTGGAGGGGGG